CAACTCATGTGACATATGTAAATAACGGGCTGCGAAACTCCAAATAGAATATGCAAATTGAAAGAGTAGTTAAGAAATGTTTTGTTAATTAAGCTACCGATAGATTCGTGATACTCAACCCTGACGTCCGACAATTAGATAACGCTATTCTCAAAAAAAAATATTTTTTTAAATCTTATTTTATTGTTTTTTTTTTTAATATTTTCTGGCCTAGAGAAAACACCACGTATATATATTTATCAGGATTGCGGGGCATTTTTACAAACTTATGAGGTCTCCAAAAATATAATTTAAAATTGCATGTTTTTTAATCCCCCGGATCCTGTAATCTTTTATTTCGCCAGCCTTTAGACGTCTCGTCTTGTAATTAGTGGTCTGCATCGCACTGCAATGTATTTTAGGCGCTTTCTATCTCTGTCATGCCTGCACCGAAGCAAAATGTATTCGAAACTTCAGCCATGTATAGTATCAAGTTATTGCAGTATGTCTCCCCAAATAATAAAAAAATATATCTTAATTTTACCATAAAACATATTGAAAAAGCGAGGAAAGTAATCTGCCAGATGATTTAACTCATAATCTAGCTGCAGTTTAGTGAATATGCCAGCTGGCATCATATATTCAAACACGAGAAGTTCAAAAATACTTACTGTGCCTGAGCAAACGGAAAGACTCGTATACTTCTAGCACAAAGAAAATAAGAGGAAGAACAGGAGACAGAGGCTGGAACAATATTTGTCGAAATGTGCGCGTTTGTGTCTTGTCCTATTTCTGTTTTATTATTTCTACGGAAAGTATACATTGAAGCCAAGACGCTCGTGACGAATATAAGTAAGCGGGTAGACGCTCATTTTTAATTCATACATAATAATCTATCTTAATGAGACAAAAAGTAAAGATGACTCAAAAGACGCAACGTGCTATAAATTAAATATAACTTTTCTTGTCCTCAACATGTTGCTTCATTACTCGCACAATTAAATCCCGGCTGCTTGGTGTGCCCAACAGCTATCTTGACGCCATAGCGACGAAACCTATCCGGGTAGGCGGGGAGCATTAGAAGACATCTAAATGCCAATTAAACAATTGATTTTGGTGGGGTTAGGATGTCTAGTTTTAAAATTATACAAGTAATAAAAAGGGAGGCAGGACTCGCCATGATAAATTGTAGGGAAATCGACAATTCTAAATAAAAGTGCCAGTATTTATTCACCGGATAAATGGTACCTATTCGTCGAGCATGTCAGTTATCTCTCCGGTTGCGGACGTACATGTTAATTTCCTGCAGAATAAAAATCATTTTGAAGGGAAAATTAAAAAAGAAAAAAGAAGAATCTCCAACAAGCAGTTTATGAGTCGATGCGCCGTTATCTGCCGGAGAGCGTACAAAACAAGCTCCGAGAACAAAACACTAGCCACGCCAGTGATCACTAACCGAGGGTTTAAGAGGAATTTCAGATGCAAAATGTGTATGATGTTTTGATCGTACGCTAATATGACACTTTTAAATAAACTTGATTTAAAACACGTGTTTACAGGAGTTATTAAAGAGAATAATTTTATATGCAATTGAGCTCTCATGTATACTCCACTTTAATGCAACTATATTCTCAAAACAGCCATGATTGCACACGAAAGGAAATGATAACACATTTCAAGGCGCACCTTCCGCGGCATTCAGTCGTAGCGCACGAAGCGAATTCCGTGCCCCGCACGCTGATGAGATGCCGGTAGTACGCGAATCTCGACAATATCGGTAAACCTCCCTCATGTCGCTGACCGCTGCCAAGGCGGATAACGCGAGGCGTAGCTTCGGCGGTGTCGCCACAATAATATGGGTGGGGCACACTGCACTCTTCGAGCAGACGTGTTTGTGACACATTTCAGTATTTCCCCATAGCATTCCATAAAAGACGCTTCCGATAACCCTGTCAGCGCAGTCTTCAATCTAGCAAGTAATCTGAGGCACCTCCGTACAGATACAGCATGAACGCCTTTGTGAGTACACTACGTGCGCGTTGTCGTTTCAAGGCTTTAAACCAGTGTCCGTCGAGTACTCAGTTAATGCAAAGCAAAAATGTAAATGTGTTACGCAAAATGGACTTAAAGGGCAACTCCGGCCAAAACTCAAAATGAATTAAATTACTGGTGTCGCTTTAGTGACACAAAATACGATCCCAGCCAAAATTTCACGTCTGTGGGACGCCGCGTTCTCAATTAATGCCGATAATAACAACGCGACCCGCCGCGAGCCGCTGCTCCTTAGCGGGCGGCCAGCGGGTTGCCGATCGCTAAAGCAACAATGGGCCGTGATGTCAACATCGTCCTCTTTTTTTCCTACGTTCCGGACGGGCGCACGGCACAGCCGTCGCGCGCGCTTCTTTGTGCCGTTATCACCGCTACTTCGGCTTGTAATTGCGTGTTTAGCCGTTGCTTTTACCTGTAGCCCGTGTAGCTTCGGTATAGCTTTTTGTTTATTTGCTTGTGAGGAATCCAAGACTCGTTTTAGCGAGCAACTCGGTGCGTCCAAGACTGCCTAGCTGTTCCTCGAAAGATGCCGAGTACAACTTAAAGCGCTGTGGGCTGCTCAAACAAGTCGCTTCGCAACCCGGAGGCGCTTTTTCACAAGTTTCCAACGGATCGGAAATTGGAGAAGGTGTGGGTGAACGCTGTTCGACGAGTAGACTTTGGAAAGCCTTGGACGTCGACCCCCAGATCGAAGCTTTGCTCCGATCATTTTTCGCCGGAGAGTTACGAACGAAACCTACAGGTGTTGGTTGCTTGTGGCTTGTCAGCGAAGGGGTCGAGGCTTAAAGGGAAACTCCGGTCCATACTTTTGATTTTGGGATTATGGCTGTTTTTAGTGCAGTTAGCGCCCCTGAATTGCAAGGTGTAATTTTTTTCTCGTTATTGTGCGTATTGCCCATCGTACATGTACAGAAAAGGTAAACATGATAAAAGCTGATCAATAAATAAAACAGTCATTGTCAAGTGCAGCGTTGAAGATTGAGCATTCACGCTCCATTGAATGTCTGTTGAATGGGGAATGGTGGGCATGTAGAGTACAACTACTAACTAGCTCCAAACAGTGAAGTTTGTAATGAAAATGAAAATAATGTCCTGCTTTGCGTCACTGCTTGTTTACTACTCCATCTCGTGCGTAGTATTCAGGTCCGTAACGACTACTAGCGAACAGGCGGCGCGTGAAGCTCATCCGATATAAACATTCGCCTCCCAATCGTTCGAACCCGTTACGCAGCAGTATTAATTAAACATTGCGCTTGTGAATACCACAAGGGACTTTAAAGAAATCGCGAAAGTTCGGATTTGTAAGTTATAACTCTCTAATTTGCCCGAGTTCGGCTGGAGGTAATTATAATATTTAAAAATGCAAAAAAAAAAAAAAAACACTCGCCTTAGTCAAAAGTTACGAAGGAAAACTTAAAATCCTATGTATTCTAATAAAAAAAATTTGTTGTGGGTGGGGGTGGGAATGCGGAAGGGAAAGAAAGTGTTCTCACCTTGCTAACGTTCTCTGTTTTCCTTTATCACCCACAAAAACTTTTGCTAGCTTTGAGAAGAAAATGACTGCCCAAAGAACTTTTCTTTTTTAGTGCGGCAAGTTTTTTTTTATTTGTACAAAGATTCACTACCTGGACGAACTTATGTGGTGAATTAGTGTCGTAGCTTAAAAATTCGGCATTTACGCGCCTGAGGAAAAAATAACAAAAAAACAGAAGTCTACAGCTTGACACACGTCTGTGTGTCAAGCTTCGTGTCTTGGACTGACCCGCCGCGCGAAAGCACCAGCACTGTACGTCACTGGCAGCGCGGCGTAGAGCAACGCCGCTCCATCCACGGAGCCCCGATGACAACTTAGGCCTAGCTACGAGTGCGGGAGACCGCATGCACGCCGACAGCTGCCGAGTACGGCACCGAACGAGTTCACTCGTTTTCCAGTCGCTAGCTTTTGGGTATACAAGCAACGAGTACGGCATGGCATAGCGCACGCGCGGCGGCGGCGGCCGCCGAGTACGCCACCGAACGAGTTGACGGGTTTTCCAGTCGCTAGCTTTTGGGTATACGCACTAACTCTTGCTACATATGCTGGATAACTACCACGTATACAGTATTAAAACAAAATCAGCTTACCTTCTATCTTTAGACGGCTAGCGCAACAGAGGTAGGTGCCGCTTGGACTGCGTACTCGCTGAACGAGAACGATCTTGGCGTCACGTCCACATAGCGGCTGATTTCCAGTGTTGCCGGAACCTCGAGCGGCTAGTTTCGGTTTTGTCGGCCGCGCCCCAAACAAAACTTTGAGACGTCGATATCTTTAAAACTAAGTACAATAACGAGAAAAAAATTACACCTTGCAATTCAGGGGCGCTAACTGCACTAAAAACAGCCATAATCCCAAAATCGAAAGTATGGACCGGAGTTGCCCTTTAAATTATTTTTTAAACAGGCGCGGATTTGCGCAAACTTAAAGGCGAGTTTACGGCATATATTACAGTACTCTGGTTGCATGTTAAAATAAAATATATTAGTAAATATTATTAGTCCATCGCATCGCAAAGCCATCGATCAAGAAGAATGACACAGCAAATTTTTACCCGTTATTCGGAGTCAGTGGAGGTTTTTAATCCAAGCCATGCTGTTCTTTTAAAGCGTCCTAAAGTCGCCTCTAAAACCTTCGAGAGACTTTCGTAAATCAGTAGTTCTTCAGAATTGATGGAATAGAGGCTTTTTGTGTGAAATAATGACTTGTATTTCTTTCGTTCATTCCCTTAAATAGGTGTTATTTTCTATCGTCCATTGCAGAGTGCGCCTCTGCCGGCGGCATTTTGAACGTAGGCTTGCTTTCGCAGCACTTCTGTAGAGTGCACTCCGCACCAGAAAAGCGTTTTTATTCTCGCAGACGACGAGCAAAAGGCCCGTTTGCACATGCTTGCTGAGCAGTGCGCTGAAGCACGGCGTCCGCACATTTACACTTAAAGTATCAGAACTAAAACCCCGTTCACCTTGTCCTTGAAGGCCAACCTCGTGCCCTGTCTGCTTCTGCTGGCCACCTGTTGCCAGGCCGGCTACGTGGCCCCACACGTCTACCACGCCGCCGCCGTCCACGTCCCCGTGGCCACCACGGTGGTGCGTCAGCCGGTGGTGGAGCACCACAGCGAGGTGGCCTACGTGCCACCCCACGCTCATGGGTACACCATCAGCCAGCAGAAACTCGTTCACCCCAAGACCACGGTTACCAAGCATGATCCCATCTTTGGGTGAGTTCTCGTCGCTACCTCAGAATTCAAGAACTGGCATTTTCGATTGCTTGTTAAATCAATAAGATATAGACCTCACTTTCACGCAACCTTATAACCTGCGAACACACTTCTTTGTTTGCGATATTGTCACGCGGAGAAGCCGCAGAAACCATTTGCATTGATGCGGTTGATGGGTGGTTTTATTTGGGCGAACTTGTGCCCCACGAAAATAACACGAGGAACACGGCAACAGCAAGGCAGGCGAGGGTCGAGAGACGCAGAGGGTCGGCGACAAAAAGGATGACGGATCGTCTCCCGGCCCTTATACTTTCATCAACTCGTCTATCTTTCTAGAGCCGACCTTGAGCGGCGGCTCGATTCGCGGGCGAATGCAGTGTGCGCAGTCATGCTTTAGTCGTAAATGAAGATCGATAATCCTGAGCAGTCAGGAGTAGACGCAACACGACGCTTGACAATATCACTGTATTACTCACGACATTAATGCATAAACTCCGCAATCATGACCTATTACGAAGTTGATGCGCAGCAGCTACCATAGAAACGCGTTGTTGTAAACCTACGTCTTTCCGAAGTGGCATAACCTAAAAGGCTTTGTGCTCACTTTCCGGTTTTTGAGGGAGGCACGAAAAAAAATTATTATAGCCTGGTTAAAAATGTATGTTATAATAAATTTCGAACATAATCGTGGTTTTATAACTTGAACCTCACCAAGCTTCCCATGTCCGACTTACACCTCATGACATCGGACAGTTCTCATCGATGACTTTTTTTTCCGTTGAAACTAAGACTTATAAATGTCTTTTTTATTCACAGCACCTACCACCAGGCCGAGGTGCACCACGTTCCAGTGGTGACCGGCTCTCACAGTTCTGTGCACCAGAGCCGAGGTGGACATTTCGTGCACCGCCCAGTCGGCACCGTCGTGTACTAAGCAGCCTTCACTTTCAAAATCACCCACTCCAATCCCTACTGACCCTCTTTAAAGCACGATAAATTCCACTAATCCTTGTAGTGCAGGGTGACGTATTTTTGAGACACATAGCTGATCATGTTCTTCGTGACAAGCAGAAGCATTAGTCGGTTATTGACCAAAACAGTAAAATTCAGTTGGTGTTTCACCGAAATGTAGGCAATGAAGTGCGGCCGACCTATTTGGAAATGGGGAGGAGGAGCGCACACTGTCGATGAAACGCAATGTATTGCTTTTTATTTGGAAATAAACGAGCGATCTGATGATACAATAAGTTTTTTTGCAAAAAAGATTAATCAAACAAAACTTGAAGTCTCAATATGTGTGAAACGCAACTAGTGTGAAACGAATTTTTTTGTGCTAAATAGCTCGAGTATAATAAACATTATCTATGAAACAATGAAACAACGCGGTTTGCGTCAAACAACTGCAATATTGATGGCAGTAACTACAAAACATATCTTTAGAATAGAAAGCTACGTCTTTCAAACACAAACTACAAAAAACCTATCACTTAAACGCAATTTTTCAGGTCGAATATATCCTTAGAATACCAATTTGTTATTTTTTTTTGTTTGTTTTTGTCGAAGGAAACGAAGACATTAGATTTATATAAACAGCGTCGAACTTTCCTTGTATTGTACGCTCTTCCTCTGACATACCAAACACTTTCTTCTTATAAAACGTAAATAAAACTTTGAGCCTAGACCCTGTTCCTTCATCATTTTGTAACTCTCATTATCGGACCTCTTTTATGCTGAGGACACTCTATCGGAACTCATAGATTAAATTTTCGTCGTCTTCGTCCCAGACAGAAAAAAAAAAGAAAATGCGTATTCAACGTTTTGAACATAAATAAAAAATACCAAGTTTTCATAACGTTTTTTTTTTTTTTTTCCTGCGCCGATGTTTTTTTGCAAGGGAGGAAGAGACAAGGGCATTACGCGTGATAAAACCTCTTTCCCGTTCAGCTCAACAGCCGTAAAATAATGACGTAGAAAACATCATGCAAAAGCATGATAAACAAGAATGGTCCTCTGACGACGAGAAATTATAAAAAATACGCGCGAACAGCTTCGATAATTTGTCAACACCATGTCTTGCATACATGATACTACGACGCAGCCGTACACCAGGGGTGAACTGTACTTGTTTGTACCCTTCAGTGCGGGGTGCTGGAATAAACATCAATAGCTTTTACACTGATATTTTGTAATTTGGTCGTAGTAGGTTAGAGCGCTTGGGATTCTGCAAATAGGCTGGATGCGTTTGCAAAATATTTTTACAAAATTAGATATGTCAAGAACTTTCAGATTTATCACTTGAACATGTCCCTTACACTTTACGTGTCGACAGTAACACATACACACACAAATTGTTTGCACATGAAGCTAACCTTAGTTATTTATCACGCACTTTCGTGGACATTGTTAGCTATAACAGGGCAGTGGCGGCCGTCCCGTACTCCCAGCGCCGCCTAGCTGGCGCCGTCCAAACCTCCACGCGTGCGCCCTGTGGCGGACTCGTTCTCCCCGACTGCGAGCACACCCTCGCTTTGTCGTCTGCTAGGCGCGGAGCAGACGACGCCACAGCGATTGCCAATCTTCGCTGAACACGGTTCAGCGAACCACCGCGTAAGAGGTGCCCACGGTTGATTATCTGACTCATGAATATGTGACCGCTGGCTATGGATAATCATCATCACTAAATGCAATATCAAGGTAGATTACATTTTTTTTATGGGACAAACTTGCAGTTACACTCCATTTTACTTTAGGTCCGAGAGAGCAGCGGACGCTACGAGACGATAGAACCAACCAAGCAGCGACAAAAGCGTACTTTTTGCACCTGATTGAGTTCCCCGGTGATGCACTCCGTGACGCTGCACCTTTGCCGCTATTTGATTGGCTCTGTCGTCTCGTAGCGTACGTTGCGCTCTAACTTAAGGTAAAAGGGATTATAAAAATATATTTCTTTATCACACCAGCGTGTGCTGATACCGGTTAGCAAACGCATGTTATTAAAGATGCATTGTGCATCTTTAATAAAAAGCAAAAAAGCAAAAAAAAAAAATACGTGGACAGGGCTTGTGCTTTAATGATACCGCAATCTTCCCCAGTAAAACTCTCCGGTTGAAAATGAGTTCGAGGACAGTTTGCTATGGCGAGGGTATCAGACGAGCAAAGACGGCTGATAATCGATCTGTGTCTAAACTAGTATTCTCAGCGAGCGATCGCGGAAATGACTGGAAGGCCGCTGCCTAGAGTCAACCGAATTATCCAAGCGTACCTTGACGATAGGCCTATAAGCGACGCCGCACGTAAGCCACATTCTCGATCTACGACGCTTGAAGAGGACCGGCAGCTAGTTGCTGCTCTGGCAGCAAATCCTTTCCAGTCTGCCTCTGACGTTCGCGAAGCAGCAGGCGTAGTCGTAAGCGACCGCACGGTGAGGTGGAAGTTTGCAGAGGCTGGGCTGTCAAGCCGATCTGCGGCCCAAAAGCCTCGTGTCACCGACAACAAGAGGCGTGATCGCCTCCGATTTGCTGCCGACCACGTGATGTGGACCACGGACGACTAGGGACAAGTGCTCTTCACCGCGAGTCTACCTTCACGACGCAGTGGGACCAGCGGCCACGACTATGGCGACCCGGCTACTGCCGGTAAGGGTTTATTAGAGTCGAATGCCATTTATCTTGCCCCTAAGCGGCATACTGTTGCGTTGTTTCTCCAATTAAGTAGTTTAAAATTTGTTTTTTACAGATACTACCCCAACTTTGTACAACAAGTCGCCGCTAGTGGCCGGAGCGCCGTTAATGTCTGGGGGGCCATTTCCCGAAACAGACTCGGGCCACTCTTCAGGATCGAAGAAAGATTGACATGTAAATGTTACTGCGATATACTCAGCCACGTTTTGCATCCCTATGTCCTGGACGGCCCATTGCGTGACGGCGACTTCGTGCTCCAGCAGGTCTTGTCCCCAGTCCACACGGCCCACAAATTCCGCGACCTTCTGCAAGAACGCTGCGTCAACCTGCGTCCATGGCCACCCAATGGTGCGGACTTCAACAGTATTGAACTCGTTTGGGGGGGGCGCGGCGCCCACTCCACAGCCCCACTGCCGACGACCTGTGGCGCTTCGTCCAGAAGAGTGGGAGAGGCTCCGCAACGAAAGGTACTTCGTTCCCCAGCTCTATGATTTCCTACCATCATGGATGAGAGCTGTGGTCGACGGCAACGGAGTGATGACACGACATTATAGATGTCGCCACGAATCACACCGCGCCATTTGACTTACTATTGCTTGCACCGGCTGGAAAAATATAAACGGGTCTTGCAACGTACTTGAAAGTCCTTTTTTTCGATATGTCGTGTCGAATCTAAATATGATATGATACGAATCTAAAAAGTCAGTTATGTTTGTTATGTCGTTTAAACCGTTATTCATTAGTTGTGAAATTATTATTTTTATGTGCGAAATATATTTGTATATTTCATAACACGTCTCGTTTAGTCATATGTAACGATGTTTTAGATAGACTCCTATAAGTACCATCTCTTTGTTGACTGGAAGAAATGGCAGTAAAGGAATAAATTGCTTGATCTAACGCAGCGCGAAAACTTACTTCTATATTCCGCGTTTTTAAACCCGATTAAAAAGCATTAAAAAAAAGCATCAACAGCCGTGAGTATATGAAAGCGTTTAGGCTGCCGTCATGCCTAGCTGACATTTTCCGTAGCCCGGAAGATTACGGTCACGGGTTGTTTGGCACTGGCAGACACGTTTTCGTGAGTCCCGGAATCATCCGCAGCACAAGATGCGCCACAAAACCTGTGTTCAGCGAAGATTGGCAATCGCTGTGCCGTCGTCTGCTCTGCACCTAGCAGACGAAAAAGCGAGGGTGTGCTCGCAGCAGAGTGTCGAACCGGGACCGAACCAAACCGAAATCGGGAACCGAACCGCTATTTTTAGCCGAACCGGAGCTGAACCGAACCAAACTTTTCGACGCGATCTTGGAACTGAACCGGAAAAAATATAACGGTAACCGGTTCAAAATGGTTCACGGTAATTTTTTTATTACAAAATGAGTGTCCGAGAAGTAAAAACGATTGACAGCTGTATTTCTATGTAGTGATCAAATTGTCTTTGCCGAATTTCAATGTATAAAAAATTGTGGGTTTTCGTGGCGCTTTTGTAATGGCACTACGATTCATCATGTGTCATGTGATCACGTGACATCATGGTGCCAAGATATGCTGTCAAATAATGTCACGTCACGTAGCCCTCTGACGTAGTCGTGTGACTCATCGCGTTAAGTCGACTTAAATTGTGTACACCACTATGGTAGTCCGTTGCAACTCAAGAAAGTAGGGCGAGGGGAAAGGAGGTCCGGGGAGAAGAAAGCAGGCGGAACGCTGGAGAGAGGAGGAAGTCTCCCTCTTTCTTCTCTAGGGTTCCGTGCTCTCCCTCCTCCACGGCGTTCCTTTCCCTCACCCTTTTTTCTTGAGTTGCAACAGACTATAGATGCATTAGAGTTGTTGACACCGTGACGACAGATGCCATCACGACTTCTCACCGCGAGTTACGCGACATCGTGACATACTCGATCGTCATGAGCCCGAGTCGACTGCTCGGGTTCTTGACAATGGGCATCGCCACACGTTCGTGTTGGCTCGTGTTCAATCAAAGATGATAGTAGCTGAACTCTAACACCGGTGGTGTACAACTAGCCTCAGATCACATCGCCGCTTGTTCTAATAGAGAGTTGAGGAGGGAAAAGGTATTTTTTTCTTTCTGTTTCTCTGCGTCTGCCATTGAGCGCAGAGAAAACTAATGGGTGTTTTTGCGAGCTATCAACATCAAGGATTAGCTCTTAGTGGTGCTCACTGAAAGTGCAAAAATTGTTACATGAACCATTGTACATGTCCACATCATTGAGGCAGCCAAACATGTGTCCCTTG